TGCAATGGTGCAATATTGGCTTACTGCAACTTCCACCTCCTGGGTTCATGTAATTCTCCTGCCTCAGCCTACCGAATAGCTGGGATTACAGACATGCACCACTACAGCCAACTAATTTTTGTATTTTTAGTAGAGACAGGATTTCACCGTGTTAGCCAGGATGGTTTCGATCTCCTGACCTCGTGATCCGCCCATCTCGGCCTCCCAAAGTGCTGGGATTACAGGCGTGAGCCACCGCGTCCGGCAGTAGACGCTTTTTGAGCTCTGCCATGGTCCCCTGTGGGGTGGCTGTGCAACCTCCACGTTAGACAGAGAGGATGGAGGCCCAGAGATGGGAGGAGGCGTGACCGCAGTCCTGGTGGCCAAAGCAAGGGCTCATGTTTTCTGAACACTCGCAAAGTGTCACTCATGCGTCAGTCTGACACCTGGGGGCTGGGACTGCCTGGGCTTCTGACCACACTCACAAAGCCCATAAAGGTACCTGCTGCAGGTACTTGGAGTGGGGATGGAGTGGGGGCTGAATTCCACAGGCTTGAGGAAGTGGAGAAGATGTAGACACCCTACCTATCCAGAAGAGGGCAGTAGTGACCCACATGCCGTTTAAGATCAAGTTAACAACCCTTAAATCACCTCCTATGGTGAATCATCATCATCATCATCATCATCATCAGTATTTAGAGACATTGATTAAGTGCCTATTTTGTGCCAGACTCTGAGCTAAAAGATGTCGCTCCCCATTATACCCATTTTCCACGTCTGTAAAAGGACCCCACAGCACCTGTGAGGTCTGCTGCCAAAAATTAACCACCTGGACCTAATCCCAAGGAAACAGCACACAAACCGGAAGGGAGAGACGATCTGCAACAAACTAGCCTCTCTCATAGGCATGCATTTCTTGTAATTCTGTTTCTCTGAGGTATTTGCAGAAAAGCCCAACCCTGCATCAGTTTCACCAACCACTTTCCAAATTCCTATCCTAGATGGCCAAGAGCTTGTAGAGGCAAAACATCAACAGTGACTCAAATGTTTGCCATGGTGGCCTCTACACGTGGCCTGCTTTTCCCACTCATCCCAGCTGACCAGCGTGTGTGAGCCCGGCTGACAGCAGAAAAACTGCCTAGTCAAGTCCAGCCTAAACACTGATCCAGTCTCATGAGCTCAATTGCTGCAAAGTCTCTGTGGTTTCTTACAAAGCTTAATTGTGGCCGTAGATAACTGGTATAGTTTGCTTTCATTTAACGACAACCTAAACCGGTGAGGCAAACTAGATAAACCAACCCAAACCAGTGAGGCAGGCAAGGAACGTATTGGTTTACTAATGGTGAAGTTCAGGGGTAATGTCGGCTTCAGGTACCGTCACATTGTCATCCAGCTCTCTTGTGGCTGAACACAGCTGCACTTCCTGACTTGTGCTCTCCCGAGTCTCAGACAGGTTTACCCCTCGTGCCTGCAAGATGGCTACAGCAGCTCCAGACTTCACCATCTCAGCTTTAAGCTCAGCACAAAAGAAATAGAGCTCTTCTCTCTCAAAGTCTTGGGCGTGGATCTCACTGACTTGATTTAGGTCATGTGAACATCCCTGAATGCATCAGTGAGACTGGTGGGACTTGGGATGGAATCTGCCAATTCATGTAGATCAATCAAAGCCCTGTGTCTATTGACTGAGGAAAAGGGAAGGTGGTTCTCCAACAGAAATCCGGGGCCCAGATGGTACCTTTGGCACAGCCTCAGCTGCCTCCAACAGGCCTTTCACCAGCCACCAGCTGGTGTCCTCATCTGTAACACGGGACCATCATAGGACAGACCTCCAGGGGTGATTGTGAGGACGCTCAGAGCTTAGAGCAGAGCCTGGAGCATGGTGAGAGCTCCATAAGCGTGAGCAGTCAGCATCGTGGCCCCAACCACACCCTCCATTTCTTTGCATGTGACGCGTGGGTCATGCATCTCTTCCTGGGTCTGCTTCCCTTAGTCTCCGTGACTCATCTGTCTCGTGGCTCTCCTCTTCCTCCTCCATGACATTTCTTCCTGGTTGTCTTCCTGGTTCCTTTTTCCCCGTGCACCCCTTTAATAAGGGGGATCCCAGGGCTTGGTCCTGGATCCACCCTCTGCGTGCAGTTCTCCATGCTTACCAAGGTGGAACTGGCTCCATCTCTCCAGGGAGTCCTCTTTCCTACGGACCCAGCCCATGAAGCCCGCTGGCTGCTGGACGAGGCCCCCAGGTGTCAATGTCACCTCAAATACCATATGGCCAAAATGGAACTCGGCTTCCTATAAAAATGTGAGCCCATAAATTCCTTTGCTTGGTTGGTTGTTTGTTTGAGATGGAGTCTCGCTCTGTCACCCAGGCTGGAGTGCAGTGGCATGATCTTGGCTCACTGCAACCTGCGCCTCCCAGGTTCAAATGATTCTCTTGCCTCAGTCTCCCAAGTAGCTGGGATTACAGGTGCCTGCTACCAAGCCTGGCTAATTTTTGTATTTTTAGTAAAGATGGTGTTTCGCCATGTTGGCCAGTCTGGTCTTGAACTCCTGACCTCAGATGATCCACCCATCGTGGCCTCCCAAAGTGCTGGGACTACAGGTGTGGGCTCATCCCACCCAGCCAAATTCCTTTTTAAAAAAGACACCACCAGAGGGCAGCGGGTATTCTCTGGCCCAAACTTCCTCCTCTGCAAGGCCTTGCCCACAGGGTAGGTTGCCCCCCAGTTATTGGCCCAACCTGGCCCAGACTTGGCACTGCTGTTAACTGTCACACGGGAGCCCCCACAGTGTAATTAGAACCTCCCACTTGTCCTGCCAGGCTGCCTTCTGAAGACCCAGCATGCCTCACAGCAGGCCCGTTAGAGCACTGGGCCTTCTAGAAGGCCACACGGGACAAGGCCAGGCCCTCATCCACATAAGTGTCCCCAAAGTATTCAAAGATAACAACCTAAACCGGGCTCAGTGGATCACGCCTGTAATCCCAGCACTTTGGGAGGTCGAGGTGGGCAGATCACCTAAGGCCAGGAGTTCGAGAATAGCCTGGCCAACGTGGTGAAACCCTGTCTCTACTAAAAATACAAAAATTAGCAGGGTGTGGTGGTGGGTGCCTGTAATCCCAGCTACTTGGGAGGCTGAGGCAGGAGAATTGCTTGAACCTGGGAGGCGGAGGTTGTAGGGAGCCGAGATAGTG